TGCAAAATGTCTCGCTGGATTTATTCTACGCAAACATTAAATACTCTTTTTATGTAAGCACTTTGAGGGTATAAAAGGGCTCGCTTGATGATGTAGTTAATTAATATTGCCTTTTGCGCTGAAGGGGAATTCTTTGAATATTTCTCTAGACTCATAGAGGTTTTGAGAGGAAGCCACCCGATTTAAGAATGTTGGAAAATGTTTTAAATATTATTTTGTTCCACCAAATTGTTTACACAATGGGTGGTATTACGCATATATTTATATAGAGTAGCTAAATTATCTATCTATCTATCTATATAAATAAAAATGAATTTCCGTTCGTTAGTCTCGCTAAAACTCGACAACGGCTGAACAGATTTGGCTAATTTTGGTCTTAAATTGTTCGTGGGAGTCTAGGGAAGGTTTAAAAAAAAGGTGATACAAAAATAATTTTGGTGGTACGTAGTTCGTAGTTCCGGGTCAGCTAGTTCTGAAATATAAGTTTTGTATGTTTTTTTTAAGAGGTGAAAATCATCGAATCACTCAGTGTGTCAGGAGTGTCAGGCTCTTATTGACTAAAAACCACCCCGTTCCTTCTCCTGCACTTTGAACCGGAGCCCCGGTAACGCGTCAGGTTCTCCGCGAATTTTGTATGGTTTTACTTAATTACATTTTATTTTATTGAATGCTATTCTAAGCGGTTAGATAGTTATTACAATCTAAAGGAATTTTTCTTCAATCCATAAGAAAACTTCATTTAAGTCCTATTAGAATTAATTTCACTATAAGAGTGGAGAAACTATTTTCTTAGAAATAATAGTGAACATAATTTAATAGTTCTTCATAATATCTGTAAATGCAATCGTCCAGTGTGTCTGTCTAGACATCATAAACGGCATCTTTACTATCATGTCTGCTTACACTCATAACTGTCCGGTACCTGTTACTTGGAAATGTTTATAAATAAATAATAAGCGGTTGTTTGTCCAGTGTCCACGGGCTTAAGTAAAATCGTTGAGTATTTTTCTGTTCAAAATATTGTGAGTAATACCGACTTTACTGTAGGTACAGATAGTGAAGTGTGTTATAAAGTTTTTTATTTATTCTGAAATAGTGGACTGTCAGTCTTTTATGTTTTGTGAAATATCGTATTGTTTATTATATGATGAGATGTTTGTATGCGTATTTGAATATACTTTTCTTTTTACTATGACAAAATTTATAATCATAATTAAACAACCGACTCAACTCAACCACAAACAAAACTCCGTATAAACAAAAACAAAACTAAAAACAAATTCATCTGACTAACTCCCAGATACATTTTAGTCTCGAAACGTAACAGTGTAAGCTACAATAGTTTAGTATTATGAAGCGTTCTATGTTTACGCAACGAAAGCTTGCACTTTGTGAAATGAGAGCGAGTTCACAACAAAGGGTTGGGAAACGCAAACCCGAATGTCGTAAACGTCGCGTTAAGGTTCGTACACACTGAGGGCTTAGCACGACTTTATTTTACATTTAACGAGATCGAAACGGTACCGTGTTCGGTGCTCTGATTGGCCTGCTCCAATGAACCAACCAATCAGAGAGCTAAAACAAGGGATTCTAGTACGGAAACAAACTCGTATTAGGCCCTCTGCACTACGCAGAACTGAAAAGCTATAGCCTTATAGCTCAAACAGATTCATTGGACTCTGATTACCTAATTGAAACTGTACTATCAATGATGTTAGTCTATTTATTAGGATGGTGCTTTGATCTATTTTATGCCGTTGCTCATGGAAGCAAAATTTAATATTGATAAAATATAAGATTATGTAAATATATATTCAATTTTTTTTTGTTGACGTTCAAAAGTGCCATTCTGGCCTAATTGAAATAAATGATTTTGACTTTGAAATGATTTTGACTTTGACTTTGATATATTGTATATTGAATTTGTTGCGCGCACGCTGCTTATGATAAAGGGTAGGTCCTTTTGTGACTCGAAAGTAGTAGAGCTTTCCTCAATATTTTTCGTGAGTAAACTGGTATTTTTAATTCATTTAGTTATGTCTCACGATAGTTATTATACGAATATATTGTCTGTTATATTGTCAAATAACGTTTTTTTATACTTTATAGGTCGACGTTTGACCACCATTTCGCCTGATGGTAAGCGATGATGTGGCCGACGATAGAGCACGCCTACCTATGAGCAACCTATTAAAAGTTAAAAGTTTTCAATTGAAAGTCTTTCGGAATATTAAAATATACAACACTTGTACCTATTAAATATTTTCCGTAATAATTTCGTTTCTTTAAAATCGAAAACAATAATGCGAAGTATTTTTAAAACAAATTAAATCGCGCATTGATGTTTCACTGGTCTGCCTTCGTCCTTATTCTCTACTATAGAGTTTTAGGCTTTGACAACCCACACAATGTCCTAGATAAACAGATTCCCTCACATTTACTGAATATTACGATCATATTAGAATGCTATTTATATATCAAAGAATAAACGATATTCAAATGGTTTCTGCTATTTTAAGATATTAATGAAGTTTTAGTAGCTATTGCCGGCGACTTAGCCCGCGTAGAATATGATTCTTGTTTTATCTTATGGGAGCATTTAATCGGGATAAAAAGCAGGAATAAATAGTGTCTTATTACCTATTGTACGATTATTACGGTGACTATTATTAATGCGACATGTTACATTGATTTATTATTGACTAGCTTTCATCCACGGCTTTGCCCGCGTATTCCTGTCTGTATTCCTGATGTCCTATCACCTAAGTCAGCCCCTACCCTGCCTGTATACCAGTAGTTTCAGCGTGATTGACCGACAAACATCCAAACATCCATAGTACATTCGGACATTCAAACAAAGAAACCTTCACATTTATAATTTTAGTGGGAAATTTTAAATTTGTGAATGAGTTTAAGAAACAATAATTTTTCTTTATCGTGCTACAAATAAAAAGATATTGAATGACATTTAGAACATATTTGTGTTAGGGGATTTTTAAATGTATTTCTTATACATTTACATAAGTCCTAAAATTTTTGTTACTTATTCTGGTTTTGGGAGAAATAATAAATTTTTTCGTTATGTATTTTCCTATAGTATGTTAGGGGATTTTTAAATGTGCATAAAGACATACAAGTAATAAAAATATTAGGACTTATGTTCTTGATAATTTTAAAAACATATTTTATTTTGATATCAATTTTATTTTGATTATTTTCTTTTGATATTTATTATTTTATTTTGACTTTTATTGTTTTAGTTTAACGAGTCTCCTACTTGTGCAGTCTACCGACCTTCGATATGTTAGATTTTGATTCATTAGGAATTTGATGATTTAAATTAAGCAACATTTGTTAAAATAAAGTTACCCAAAACGTGTTCTATAAAATCGTTTAGCTTTAAGTCTACTGTAACACCTTATTCACTTTATGTAATGCAAATAAATGAGTATGAATATAATTATGAATAATAATAATTATGTAAGTGTGACTGCCTCGTTGGCCGAGTGGTCGCAAGTGCGACTGCCGGGCAAGGGGTCTCGGGTTCGATTCCCGTGTCGGGCAAAGTATTACTGGGTTTTTAAAAAATTCTCAGTAATAGCACGGAGTCTGGAATCGTGCCCGGTATATGGCAATAGGCTCACCCCCTATTACATGGGACTCATAACATAAATAGTGAAAAGTGGGTGTTACATTGTACAGTGGTATAATGTGCACCTCTGCCTACCCCTTCGGGGATAAAAGGCGTGATGTTATGTATATGTATGTAAGTGTGATGCATAATAAGATTAAAACTAAAACTATCGAGTCTATCGACCTTTTACTTAAAGCAACAAGTTGTCACAGTATTACTATTAAAATACAAAAGTTTTGTTTGAACAACATCCATGAAAACATTTAAAAATCTCTTTCTTCTCTTGGGCTTAGGCCGTGTAGTCTGGAATCAGTATTTAAGTTTGATAGAGATTTGATGAGACCTAAAAATAAGAATAAGGCAGTATTCTTATACTAGCTAAAAAGGAGGCGGGGCGCGCGAGGCAGCGAAGCGCTGCATCTTCACAGGTCAGCCGTGCTATGCGAAGGACACTCCGGGCGTCCGGGGAACGCGGGGTGATCTCCGGCCATCGTAGGAACGAGCCTGCGGATGGCGAGCATGGGTAGCTCGCCGCCCGACCAGACTCGAGCGTAAGGCGTGTTGCGTTCTGCACGCACCTCAAAGAGTCATCAGACCACCACGGATAGGGCCCAATAGCGCTAATGGCGATACAGAACCCCGGAGATCGTAAACCGTCACCGGGGCTCCGTCTCGAAGTGCAGGAGTACAGTAGGAATGGGGTGATTTATATTTTTTTAAACCCCTCTGTGGTTCGAAACTAGTACCTAGAGTTTTTCTCAGTACGTATATATTCACGTGAGTAGTCTCACGGTAGTTATTATAAAAACAGATATTATGAATGTTATGTAATCTGACAATACATGATTTCATTGACTGATTGATGAAAATGCAAGTGTCAAAAGTAACAACATCACTTAACATCGAATAGTATACAGGAATACGACATCAATTGTTCTAAAAATAAAATGAAGCGCAGTTAGTCAGTTGTTTACTCTCCCACGGTAATTTTAGGAGTCAACTCAGGGAAGTAACCTGGTGTAGTGCCCCGGGCGATGAGCGAACAATCTGTCACTACAAAGTAATGTAGCAATTTTTGAACCCATTTTAAACAAGCTACCAAATGACACTTCTCCCCTTTTTTTCTAAATACGATGGTAAAATTATTATGTACCTCCCTACTTTTGATTCTAATAAAAATGTTTGTATTTTTTTTTGTTTGGCAAACGGTTTGGAGATTGTAAACGAGGAAACTTTTTTCAAAACGAAGAAACAACAAATGGTATTTATTTTCTCACGATTATGAAATAATCTAGAGAATTTATCACAAAATTTTGATTTTCCGTGCCGATAAATACATTATTAGATTAATAAAAATCCAGCTTACCAATAAAATTGACATGTAATACAGCCAGTATGAGAAGGCGCGCCAGCGGGCCGCCCTGCGCATGCGACGCCATCTTGCCTCAACGTGTCACTGCTCGGTGCTGCCACCTACCGCCGCTATCCAACCTCGACACCCACTTTAATCTTCTCATTTTGATCACTATCGTTTACAATCCGACATTTTTTGACTGGCCAGTTTTATCTGTGAACAATAAGTTAAATATAGATATATTATAGAATCAGAATTTCGGGTCAACTTACATAAATGTAATAGGATGATTAAGATGGACCAGCTCTATTATTAAACTGTTTATAATTTGATGAGGATAAAGTGTACTTCTAATATTAATTGATCCGACATATTTGTGAACTGCTGTTTCCTAAAAATAAATATTTTGGTTGTTTCTTATTTAAATTTTTAATAAATATCGAAATATATTAGTAAGATTTCATTGATGGTTACAATATTTCAGTATTATATCTTGTTAAGAAAAAATTAATGAACGCTCAAAATAAATCAACAATTTTTTCGGTTTTGTTCGTCTACTTCAACAAATACCGTGTAAAAAATTTAAACTTTTTTCATATTCATCAAAATATTTACTCATTGCCGTCGATCTGTGAACAAATTCTATCAGCGCAGTGTTTTATTCATCAAAAACGAAATAAAAATAAAACCTAACCTAACAATAAATTCCGGTATCTATGCACGAACTCGCAGGGATGGTAAAATATTCGTATTTTTATTCACATTCGGTGGAGCACCAGAGAAACAGTCGAACGTTATCTAAAATATGAGTGAATGTGTACGTGCGGTTGGTTCTAAAAGAATTTGGTATCAAAGATTCGTTCGAGGCAGCATAAACATGGGCCCGTGCCTATCCTCACATGAAATTAGAACTCATAGATGTGCCATCTCAAGATATCCTGGTGATTCCTTGAAAAGACGAATTAAGGTTTTCTCAATGCATACGTTTCACTCATTACGTTGCTTGTTCAACTAATCAAGGACCAACGTCAAAATTTTTAAAAACAATGAAACCTGTCTGGAGTCGTTACTAGGCAAAATGCATCATATTTTTCAAATATTTTGCGTATCATACTACCAAATGCGTAACAAGAATGTCAGTTGATTGGTGCAAAATCATTTGGATGGCATTATGGATATGACAACTATTACAATACCTCACGGTTGAAAATTGCAAGTAAAATATAACGAGTATTTTTGCATCGTTGAAAAACACTCGATACTCATGATCGGGTGCCAATTTCATTCGAAAAAATACCAAACGCATACCGACTCTTCCGTGTTTTAAATATTCTAGGGGAATTTGTTATGACAGTATTGTTGATTGCAAGTATGAAAAAGGCCAGGATGGTTGCGACGTACCTATATTGTTATCAATTTCAAAGTATTTTAAATGTTTTTATCTAAAGTCTATTTTACCTTATATCAAGAGACAGATACTGTAAAAACACTTCAACTTTTTTGTTCATTTATTTCTGAATCGATAACAAGTAATACAATTCAATTACGTAATTATTTGATTATACAGTTTTCGAATTGCAATTTTGCTGTTTCATCGAATATAATTAAATATTATTATCATAATACTGAAGCGCTTCCAGAAAATCTAAAGCAGAGCATAATATGATTCCATAATGGATAAGGTGGGAGTCTTTTGGCCCCTGATTCTGTTATGAAATAGAATGTGCATTACATCACATAGTTAGCTAATGGAATATATTTTTATAAGCCGTTGTTATACGGGCGACTTCTTTGTATTACGTAGTATATTTTATATAAGTATATTAATTTTAAACAACTATTTTTTGTCGATGAACCTTTGAACTACATTAAATTGTGTTTATTGATAGTGAAAGATTAATAATTTTTAATTTAGCTCATATAGATGTGTTTATACGAAATATAATTTAGTCACTCCTTTTAAAAGTAGGTACCAAGTCTTTTATAATTAATGAATAAAAGTTCATACATAATATCTAAGATTATAAGCAAAAACATTGCACTATTAGGCAAGCAATAATCGATTCAAACAAGCTGCTTGGCAATGACAAATCGCCGGAACGCGGCGCGGTCGCGTTTGACCAGCGATAACGCTGCGATCGCCATCGGAAGTTGTAATTAATGCCAGTGAACGTTATGCGTTTCCTTTACGCCCTTCTGTGTGTAGAACGACAGAATGCGGTTTTATGGAGCTTACGTTCATGTTTGAACCTGGTTTTGGTTGGGAAACATGTTTGTGGGGATTACTTAAATTGTGATTGCTTATAGTAATTATGTTGGTTTGACTAATATCAGTTTAAGTATAGTCAAACACAAAACAGTTATTCATGTCCCTTGGATGCACTAGACTTCAGTGTTTCGATACTTTTGTAGTTGTATCAACTATAGATCCTGACTTCACCTAAAATCTGTTGCTTGATTTATCATAAGCATTCTAACATTTTTGATAAAGATTTTAAAATAAACACGTTTTAAAATAGTAATACATGTTTTACACATGTATGCAGTGTACAGATACGTACACAAGCGACATTAATTCAACTCAGATTGCGTGAAAATAAGTGCGTTTTGTGTGCTCATTACATGTCACTACATTTACGGGCTCCGGGACACAGTCGTAAACTTACGCGCCAAAGCACTCTGAATTATTTCAATTCACAACTGGTTCAAATTGTTTCCAACTAACTTCGAGATTGTTTCACTTGATTAGTTTTTGCGCACAAAGAAAGAAATAAAAATATTTAACGCAAAACGAAAAGATTTTCAAGATCGTTATTTCTAAGTATAATTGTTGGAACTTTTGTAGCTTAGTTGGTGCTAGGTTTTTTAACGTTTATTTAATTGTTATAATCTTTATTTTTAGGATAAACTATTAAGACTAAACATTCTATTACATTATGATCATTTTAAATTTCTATGAAGGGGTTTTCCTTAATACCTGGTATTAGAATTAAATCTAGCTTAATGAGAAAACCTCATATAACTTGTTATCCTTACTAATATTATAAATGGGAAAGCGAGTTTGTTTGTTTGTTCCACTTTCACGCCGTAACTACTAAACCGATTGCTTTGAAATTTTGCAGACGTAAAGTTAGAAGTCCGGATTAAATAATAGGGTACTTTTTATCCCGTAAAAAATATATATTATCGAGGGAAAACGAAATTATTGGTATAGACGGCGCTGTGTGTATTGGTATATGTCACATAGGCTACTTTTTATCCTTTTGTGACGCGAGCGAAGCCGCGGGTAAAAGCTAGTAAGTTATAATTAAGTAACGACAAGAGCAAAAACTAACCTTTATTGCGTCGAAAATCCCATGTCAGTACACTATCTGAGTATTGTTCCCACAATCATATAGATACTGACATAAAGTTGGTCTGCTAATTCATACAACATGACATTTATCAAACATTAATCAGTGAACTTAGCGATATTAACAAAACGATGCAATTCCATTTAAATCATCAATGCGAGAGTTGACACAATATGCTCAAATTAATGATCACGCGACTGAAAACACATTTTGCTTTCGTCAGATTGCCAGTTCGAGCTCATTTGGTAGAGCGGCAATTATAAACTGGCGTAATCAGTGAATGGCCGGCGTATCGACGGAAACGCTCTGTAGGGCTTCGAAACATGTATCGAGTTTATCGATTAATGAAAAAATCGATATGAAAGAATCGATTGTTCTAGAGAGAATTACATGGTGTACAAGATGTGAAAAAAATTACTAGTGCTGCGCTAAAACCATACTCGTACTTCTCAAGAGAGGTTTGCCATTGTCACCGAGGTTGACCACCGAAAATTTAAAAGATACTGCTGTTACTGTTTCTCTCAAAATTCTTATTTTTCGGTTATAGATAGCTGTACAATGAATGATAATAAAACTGAAGTTCAATTTCAAAACGATTAATCGATTGTGTAATAGCTGAAAACATCGCTAGGTCTTCCCATTCGATATCGAGTCCGAACTGAAACCAAACAGAATCCTTTGACCAAATGTATTTAGTAATTTTCTATACAGGAACACTAGTTTATGCCTACGTTGGGATGCGTATGCGGCGTGAGAGAGAATTGAGTATTATGCTGTATTATGCTACCTCTTTCAACAGAACCTCTGGATTGTATAATATGAATGTACAATAGAAAATGTGCATTGAAAAGTGGTTTACTCGTCTTGGAAGATACTGTTAGTTTATGGTACAGGCCGATAGTGGATAAACTCAAAAGTTATATTATGCTAGTATATCAGTTAATTTGACTTGGTGTTTTAAAATTACTAGCATCATTTAGCATGCTAATATTTCGAAAACAATAAACAAATGTGGGTAATTTTCAATAGTCGTATAATTTATTTTATCTTTCAGGGTAAAAAATATAATATATTTGTGTATCTTGATCCAATAGATTTACATCACGGAATGAAGAGAAAAGTCCTTAGCACGAGAAGCAATAAAAACTGGAATGTTCCCAGTTGAACTTAATATTCTGGCTATAAAAATTTTTGAAATGTCTATACTGTAGGTAGGTACTAAAATCCAGAACATAATTTCGTAATAAGATCTCCACCTGGTTTTCAGCTCAGCTGACCAATGACCAACATTCCTGGCCTTATCTGTACAGTATTTGCGTGTCATTCGTCAGAGGCGTCCTGTAATTAATGCGGGCATGGACAACGCTGGGCTAATGAATAGCGGGTGTACCGTGTCGCACAAAAACTGGCACGTCATACAACACGCGGTCGGTATCGGCCGGTGAGGCGTGGTACCACTTTTAGCGGGATATAGGTTCAGTCATCTTAATTGATTGGCCTTTTAATTTTTATCGCCTTTTGGATGTTTAATCAATTTTGAGGACAGTTTGGTACTGATGAGTGTGCGTCTGTTTGCGACTAATTTTAAACATATCTTACATAATACGAATTAAATTCTATTTTACTTTTAAACAAAGATCTTAAATCCAGTTGAACATAGTGTAATTATACTGTTAATCAATTCCTTATTTTACTAACAGAAGTATTTAAATGACTGTGCATCTACGATATCCCATCACCATCCTCATCATCAACCTATAAGTCACTGTTAGCAAAGGCCTCTTCTCATACGTAGAAGCTATGAGCATTAATATCTGCGATTATTCAACGCGAATTAGACTACTGTATCTGCATACTAAC